AATATATTTTTTTGATAAAAATTAAGTGTTTGAAACTAGTTGAAGTGATTTTCGCCTTGTGTCGAGCTTTTTTTTTTCCCCTCTAACTTGATGTTATCGTGTATAAATGAATGTTAACCCAATAAACATACTCAATTAATCACTTATTAAGCTTAACCCAATAAACATACTCAATGACGCACTTATTAAGCTTATCGTTATAAATAAATGGATTGTATTAGTGTTTTCATATTTTTTCTCGGTTTTCATTGCGTTTTTGAAATGTTTCCGTTTTTTAAACTGTCCGAAACGGTACTCCGAAATGATATTTCAATCTTTGGCTCTAAGATGATTTTAGTTCCAAAGGTTTCACCTTTTTCAACAAAGAGGAAGGTCTTTCTTCCTCGCTCGATTTGGCTTCTTGTACATAGCAGACACATTGTCTCTCTCTCTTTTTTATTTCCTCTCTCCTTTCTCAGCCATAATATGCACACATATTCACACACACACACACACACACACACACACACACATATATATATAAAAGGAGAGACAAGTCATTATTAGCCATGGACGGTGGTAGATAAAGAGTCCTGTTCTGTCATGACTGGTTGGTGAACTCTGCCCATATTTGGTAACTTTGTCAGTTTTTTTCTTTTTTTATGGTAAAAAGTATGTTTGGGTGCCCTTTTTGTTTGAGAAATTATGAAAACTAAAACAGAAAATTTGTTTGGCAACTATTTCATTTTATGTCATATTTAGTAGTTTTATATTAATTCCCAACCAAAAACAAACTAAAATGTATTGTTCCAATATATCCATCAACTCATCAAATAAGACATAAATCGAAATATCGGAATCACATAAGTCATTAAGCATACCAATACATCCCATTGTTCAAAATATTACCAAATACATGTCATACTAATTAATGATTACTTAACTAAAAACCAACAATTAGTACAAATACTAAGAAGAGTAGTGCACACAAGATCAAATTAAAACCACAAGTGAGCATCAAATTAGTGATTCATTTCTTGTCCCTTAATCCTGAATGGGCTTGAGGAATGATTTTATGTTCATCAAACCGTCACAAAATGAAGAATGTAAAACATCCCTTAATAGTGTCCGTGATAGCCCAAAAAGATATATATGGTCAGACCACATGCATGTATTCTGTAAAACCTCGGATAATTGTGAGAGAAGAAAAGGATAAATATCATGCCTTCATCCTTCTTGCTAGCCAATATTCAATATATATTTTTCTTAGTAAATTATTCTTTACTGGAAAAAAATTTCTCATGTTCAAAAGACAATTGAGTTTCAACAAGATACGTGTTTGCAAACAGCTAGTTTCAAGTGTTGCAAATTGAATCATTCGGCAGAAGGTATTGCATTAGATGCCAGAAGCTTCGCACTCTTTGAAGTATAAAAATGTCTAAATAACAAAAAGGTGAATATACAAACACAAGTCATCAAATTATTCAAGCTTCATATTCAAGTCATCAAGTTCTTGTTTGTTTGTAAACCTAATTATATGGGTATTTTTGGTCATTTATTTTTTTTGGGTCTGTTATGTAATTTGTATGAGTTTTTGTCCTTGGTTGCAATAAGGTTTTATTTGTGTTCCTTGATAGCCAGGAAATGTGCAAGTAAGATTTTCTTATCGACTCTTTGTAGAGTTGAAAGGGTAGTCACTTGACTGAGACGGTTGGGCATTAAGAGACTTCAAGAGCTGCTGGAAAAGGCATAGAAAATAGAGGGGATTGATCGGTGAAAATCCAGCAAGTAGCTAGCTTGGTTTTGGCTGGAAAAACAGAGTATAAAAGGATTGGGCTACTGCTTGAAAAATAGAGAGAACAGAGAGTTCCTGTATGTGCTGCTGAAGCCGTTTGTTTTAAGGGCTGTGTTTTTTGTGTGTGTTGCTGAAAACTATTAGATAAGTTTCCCTTTGTATTGCTTGATATTATACTGGATTTTTGATGAAATAGATTTGTTGTTTTGATTTAATTGGTGCGAATACTTGGTGACTGATTTTTTGGCCCAATGTTTTGCTCTATTCTTGTGTGTTCTTGGTGAAGTAATTGCTTCATTTGATCGTGTCAATTGCATTGCCTTAATAGAGAAACCAAGTGTGAAAGTGATATAATCAAGTAATGCGTTAGAATTGATTGTGTACAATACACAGCTGCGCACACAGACTCACACACACACACCCTAATTCACAGGGATATATGGATGCACATATGCACACACACACATGCACACATATGTTCCACTCAACAACAAAACAAAACCGAGATGAAGGAACCTTAGATCTGTAAAAATGAACATTCGATCTGCAAAACAGAGGTTGAAGAAGGAACCTTAAAGATGCAAGGGTGAGACCTTGAATTTCCTCGACGTTGATTAGCTATTGGATTGAGCTGATGTGCTTGCTGATTTGGAAGAGGGAAGGGCTGGAAAAGGAAAAGGGTTATGGCTGAAAAAGTAGAAGGGATTTTATACTACGGGCATATTTGTCGCTAAGGGAAGTCGATGGCTGGATTTCATTAAAAGGGATGGGCGTGTATTCGTTTTTGACTTTTTTTTTAAACATGTTTTTTTTTCAAAAAAATGCTGTGTTCTCAAACATGTTCACAAAAAAAACAGAAAAAAAAAAATGAAAACAACAGACAAACACGCTTTTGTTGTCTGTTTTTGCAAAAATTGAAAACAAAAAACAAAAAAATAAGGGGCAGCACAGTTGCTGAACACTTGGGGTCTGTTTGGTTTGCGTTTTAAAAAATTATATCCAAAAATAATTTTTGAGAAGAATTTTAAAAAAGTGGTTTTGATATTTTTTGAGATAAAAAACTTATNTAAAAAATTATATCCAAAAATAATTTTTGAGAAGAGTTTTAAAAAAGTGGTTTTGATATTTTTTGAGATAAAAAACTTATTTGGTTAGATGATTTTAAAAATAATTTTACAATACAGAAAATAGTAAAACCTGTTTTGACAGGCTAAATATATATTTGAACAATAATTCAAACATTAATAAAAAAATATAAAAAAGTTATTTTTATATTGACAATTTCAAAAAAAAATAATATATATATATATATATATATATATATATATATTTATTTATGCATATTTATATATAAATAAAATGTATATATAATATATATAAAAATAAATATGCATTTATATATATAAATAAATAAATANTAATATATATATATATTTATTTATTTATGCATATTTATATATAAATAAAATGTATATATAATATATATAAAAATAAATATGCATTTATATATATAAATAAATAAATATATTTATGCGTATTTATATATAAATAAATATGTATATATAATATATATAAAAATAAATATGTAAATATGTATATATAAANATAATATATATATATATATATATATATATATATATATTTATTTATGCATATTTATATATAAATAAAATGTATATATAATATATATAAAAATAAATATGCATTTATATATATAAATAAATAAATATATTTATGCGTATTTATATATAAATAAATATGTATATATAATATATATAAAAATAAATATGTAAATATGTATATATAAAAATAAATATGTAAATATGTATATATATATATATATATATATATATACCCATATCTGAACATCCAAAATTATTCTTTTTGTTTCCAAAATTTTCAAAGAAAACTTTAAAAACAAGCTACATTTATTTTCTGTTTTTTTCCAAAATTTAGAAAACAAAAATACTAAACAAACAGATTTTGAATGTTTTTGAAATTTTGAAAACAAAAAACTATTTTGCAGAAGCTAACTAAACACGCCCTTATTTTTTTGTTTGCATAATTATTTTTAGTCCTTTTTGATTAATTTAATGTAGGATAATTTATCCTCCATGTGATACATAGTCAATATTATATTTCATCTCACTCGTTTTCGCAAGATGAATTCAATAGTGAAATATGTTTTCTAATTTATCATGTCCGGTCCGTGTCCAATTGAAAAAGAAAAAAGTAAATTTATTATTCAAGATACTTCTAGTAATGTCTGACGCTTGTCTGATACTGCTATGACAAATATTCATGCTTCCAAGCCGGTGATTATTAGTCCTCCGAAGGTAGAAATGGCATAACCCTCCAATGATGACAGCTATTATTGAAGTTCCTGGTGTATGAGAACAGGGTTGGGTTGTCTTTAAACAGTATCTTGTAAATACCTTTTGTTTTTGCTAATGCACCAGCTTCATTCTCTATTGTCAGCGCAGAAGAATACTTGATAGCGGCTTTATGAAACGTTGCTTTGGAGTTCCTTAGGACCTAGATTGCTTAGTGTAAAAAACCTGATCAACCTGTGTTGTTTGACGTGTCTAGCTTGGAAAACCTACCAAATGTGGCAAAATCCCATTTTGACAGGTTTGAAAGAAGCTTGGTTGGGGCTTATCACCAACCATATGCCTAAAATCACCACTATCAAGCGCCATGACTTGGGCAAGATGGAAGTAAATGAAGCCAATTCTGTTCTGCCTAGGTTTTGCCTAGCTTCACTTGGTTACAGAAACCTTTGACCCTCTTTCCTCATAGCAGAAGGTCCATTACTGTCAACGTTTAAAATAAAAACTTCCTCCATGCTAGGAGAGACAATTAATTGGAAAAGTAGATGTCGACTGGAAGCACAACAATTTCTAACCACAAACTTCACATCCAACCCCCAATCCTTCCAAACCCTAAGCAGAAACAGGATCTAGACCATCCAACCAGCCAGAAAAATCAGGAGGATATTCCAGATGCTGATCGCTTCTAGCCTAGTTACGACCGCATCTTTTGTGGTAGGACAATCAACGACCCATGTTCTTCCTTGATTTCTGGATAGGGTAAAATTTAAGTTTGCAGCTGAAAGCAGGCAAATGAAAGAGAAGCCTGACCAAGCAAGAACAGTCTCTTAACTGTGTATGGTGTAACTAACGAAACAACAAAATCTATTGAAGGAAACAGAACTTGCTCTGTTTTGCCCATCGTACACTTCAAAAGAAAATATAAGTACTGATTTTGAATTTATCGATGGGTTTAAACTACTAAAAACACAACTCTCTCTCCATAACTAAAATGCTGCTGATAAATGGTGGTAACACTCAAAAGTACTTCACTCTAGTTCTATACAAATGGACACTTGTGATGAAGATACAAAAAGTTACCTTAAATAACAAAATTTTGACAGGAATAATACAAAAATTTACAAGGTTCCGTTTGAAGCATATGTTCGCCTCCAATTATCTTGCATCCAGGCGCATGTCTGTTAGCCCCCTAGTATAATACACCCTGGCCAAAGCTGCCTTCAAATTTCCAAGCAGCTGTAGAGGAATATGGTGATAGTTAATGAGAAGATGCCTCCATCTCCAGTGCCTCGGAAGAAGTTTCAGCACATTGCCGTTGAAATCAGATGTGGGATCGTCTTCATCTTGAACAGCAACAGAATTTGTCATTTTTTGGCCATCCTGCTGCTACACAATCCACTTGATTTGAACACAGCATCAACCAGAATGACGCTTTGATCTTCTGTGCTTACCAAGAAGTTTCAGCATGTTGTCAGTGACATCTGGTGGAGATTCATCATCTTCCTCCCGTCTTTTGTCAGAAGTGTGAGTTAACCAGGCCAATGCCTCTATGGCGGCATCTCTCTCTGCTAGCTGCTTATTTTTCTTAGGCTTCCCCACAAACTGCATCCCCTTGAACTCTACCAGCGCCCTAAATTCATTCGTTTTGAGATGTTTTGTTTTGTACTTTGGAGGGGAATGCCCTGCCCTCATCAAAAGAGTTTGTAGCAAGCTCTTAGGGTTTGTTCCGTCTCTAATAAATCTATCACTGTTACTACACCCGTCACGTTTCTTGCTCTCACGGCCAAATACAAACCTGCCTTCACATTGATCTCCTGATACCAGCTCCTGTACAGAAAGCATGAGGTACTTGCCTTCCTTGTGGATGTCGAGTGTGGGATCTTGAAGCTGCAACATTGCAAGGCCATTAGCACTAAACTGTAAACGTCAAATTGGATAGAACTTGAAAATATTATAAGTGGATCAGCACTTGAAGCAAAATAATGTTGATTCTACAACAAGTATTTAAACCCAAACAAGTTTTACAAAAATAATGGCTCTCCACTTGTGAGCAAAGGTTGTCTACTTTCAAAAGATTTATAGGTACTTGGAAACCAATCTGATTCCAATGGAGCAAACCCATCCAAACATTGCAGCGTACTCACTGGAAAAACCACAGCCAATCATCAGTATTGGTAACTCTACAATGTCTAGGTGCAAGCCAGTAGGCATTTTCTACAACTAAGTCCTGGTATTAGTCGTATGAGGACTTTCTGCTAGGCTTATAAATATCTCCTCGAGTAGCAAATTGCTTGATTCTCTAAACCAGGTAGTTTTTGTCATATAACATCAAATTCCAGTTGTTTGTGGCTATTGGACTTGAACACATGTTTTCTCATGCTTGACAGCTCCAAGCACTATGAATTAAGCAATGGCCCCTTGCTAAGTATACAAACTTGACATAATCCCAGGACAGAAACAATGTTTGTTCATCATAAGTGTGTAAATTCAAATTTCGCAAGGAATTAACATCATGGGACCAGAATGAAAATACTTAAATGCACACACCACATAAATACACAGGTTCCTGTGGTCCGAGGGTAGTGTAGTGGAGAAAGGAACCCGCCCTGCTACCTTATAGAAGGCACATAAAGACTCATAGATGTTCTGGACCTCTTATTGTAAAGGATCCCAACAAAATTATGGGCCTATTTATATATACATCCAGGTTGAGGTAAAACTACACTTTACCCCATTTTTAGGCACAAAAATATGGATCTATCAACTCAACTCAACTATATTCAACCCAATAAAACCTTGTCCCAACTATTTGAAGTTGAGTACATGAATCCTGTTACTCTATTATAAGCGAAGTATAGCCGGTCGAGTACCACATAAGGAGAAAAAGGTCATCCTCTCAAAGCGAATGTAATAAAGGTTTGGTATTCAGTCTGCCATTCCAAGGTAAATGCTTGGCTATTCAAGTTAGTGTAGTAACGAAACGGTGAGGTGAGTGAAAGTGAATCAGTCAACGAGACTGAGGAAGATACCTAGCTAGCTTTGAATGAGAGCAGGGAAGTGAAATAGCAAACTCGGAAGTGAAGCCCTTGATTAGCAAAGTACATCAAGCGTCATGTTTTCTGTTGAACCACAAGTCAAGTTTGTCTACATCTACCCCTTGTCGTACCATCAATGGGCATCACATCACTCTTCCTCACTAGTCACTAGTACATTAATAGATCTTCTATACCAATGTCAAAATCACCTAAGTTGATTCTCTTCCAGTTAATACCAACACCCCATGTAATAGTGAGTGAAGTCCACTATGTTTGTCTTCCTTATTAAAATAAAAGCACATGAGGATTACCGAGGGAACTTATATCTTTTGACTGAATGAGAATGCCATCCCATGAATATGAAAGGCCAAAATGACATCGATATCTAGAAGCACTAACAAAGAAGGGAATTTTTGTCATTGTACATTAGCTGCTAACCCTCATCAACTTTGCACTCCATTGCCATATGGGTACCAGCGTCAACCTTTCAGGTGAAAAAGGGAGCCCCTCATTTAGGAGACAAACCATGGGGGGAGAGAGAGAGAGAGAGACACACACACATAATGTAATTTTGGATTAAAGGGAGAACCAAAAAAGGAAGAAGCAAAAAACGAAGGGAAAGCAAAGGAACTAATGCTTTCAAACTTGCCTTCTTTTGAAGAAGCTTATCAAGTTCCTCCTTGAGCTTCACAAAGCACTCTGCCAAACTAGGATCCATGAAGAAATCAATATATCCTTCCAACATTTTTAGATGTCCAGCCTGAAAGAAAACCAAGTAGAGTCATATTATCCTGTCAATCATGTTACTAAGAAATAAATCCTCTATAAGTATCTGCCAATGAAAAAAATTACCAGAACACCACAGCTAAGTGTACCACCAAAAAGGATGAGAATTGAATCTGATACACCAGTGGAATCCCGTATGAAAACATTATTGACCTTCACTTTTTCGCCAAACACCAACCATGGGTATGGAATTGTTTGGTAACGTGCATTCACGGAATTCTGAAGCAAAGCATTAGCAGCATCAGATAACTCTAGCAGCACAACAAGGAGTTAAGCAAGTCTCTTGTAGAAAGGGAACATAGATAGAAAATCTTCTCTTTCTCTGGGTTTCCTATCTTTCTTTGGCCAGAAAACAAACCAGCTTTTAACACTGCCTGAATTTCTTTGATTCCGCTTTTTTTCCCATTTTTCATCTTCCCTCTTCTAATTTTCCTACAACATTCTCCTACTTCTGTTTGAATAGTAGAAAACAATAGTTGATGGATTAGTTCACAGTTGTTAAAACAACTCCAATGCCCTAATTTTCTTCCCAACCCATCTTCTACAAATTACCAAGCATCCATAATTTATTACATACTGAAGCTTAGCATATTGTCATTTAAGTGCTGAAACTTAAAAAGGTTTAGGCTTTATAATCAGGTGCAACCACAAGAAGCTGTTTTGTAAATAGAATCTTATAAATCTGTGTTTGGGATACTAATATCACACATGGAAGCCACACTCTCGTAATGTATACCATTTTTCAGGGGGAATTTTCCCAAGGAAGGAAGTGAGGTTGTTGTGTGATGGGTCACGGGTGTCTAAGTTGTTAACAGATGCTCAAAAGAACAAATTTCCTTTCTGATTTCTTGATTTACAATTCAACAAAACAATACTAATTCCAGCGTAAAAAAGAAGTCATGTTTAACATATTCGTAATAAACCTGCCTGATTATCAGGAAGAAAGATGGAGACAAAGCAAATTGTCACAAACATTTCTGCAATCTTCGCGAAAGAGAGATGTTCACCAACTTCTTAATAGCATAAGCATAACAACAATCAGATAAAGCAAAACAGCAAAAGCTAATACCTCAATGCAGTGTCAGCACAAAAGATAAAGGCCCATATGCTGTGCATCATCTATGAATTCTGTGATATGTAGACACCGTGAAAATGATTATGAAGTGTCAAAACCGAGATTAAAAAAAAAGTGTCAACACCGAAAATCCCCGGATTCCTTCCTTCCCAAGGCTGGGCCTTCTCTCCATCCTTCCCCTCTTACGAAGAAGATATTTCTTGCCTTTTCCCCTGTTGTTTCCCTTCTCCCCTAGGCTTTCATTTTCTAACAGGGCCTCATGAATTCAAACTTATGTAGACACATGCTTTCCCACGATGACCAGGTTGCATGACTCAAAGTTCATTGTAGAAATGAGAAATTTTCCCTTTTAAAATGAATAACAGCTTGGTCATGAGTCAAGATCTTTTCTAATAACTAAACTACTAAAACATTTTTCAATTCGTTCCTCGCCAATTGACGGATTTGAATTTCCACAACTTATAACTGTCTCATAATCTTAATTCACAATGAGTTGAAATTAATAATCCTCTACCGCTGCCACAAAGCCGGATCCAAGTATCACGGTATTATGGAGTTGAAGATAGAACCATTGACGTTTTCGTGGTTGAACTCAATGGCACATCTAGAGATTGAACATTTTGTATCATAGAAAGTAGTAAGAAGGATCGGTTCTACTTTTTGGTGGAATTAGGTTGTTTGTACTGCTCAGAGAAACAAATAAAAGAAGCTTCAAAATGGCAATGCAATGGAGCTTTCTGTAGAGAATTCAAGGGTTATGCATAAGTCGTTTGGGTTGAGTTGATTGGCNAATCCCAATAAGATTTCAAACTTTACCCCCATATCCAAGGACCAAGAGCTGAAAACTACCGCTGCCACAAAGCCGGATCCAAGTATCACGGTATTATGGAGTTGAAGATAGAACCATTGACGTTTTCGTGGTTGAACTCAATGGCACATCTAGAGATTGAACATTTTGTATCATAGAAAGTAGTAAGAAGGATCGGTTCTACTTTTTGGTGGAATTAGGTTGTTTGTACTGCTCAGAGAAACAAATAAAAGAAGCTTCAAAATGGCAATGCAATGGAGCTTTCTGTAGAGAATTCAAGGGTTATGCATAAGTCGTTTGGGTTGAGTTGATTGGCAGTAACGGATGATATTTTGTGCGAGTGTCAAAAGTGCAGAGCAATGTCAAAAGACTTGGATTTGATTGTTCCGGAAGAATTGATGAGAAAGGGAGGGTTAAATTGACTGATTTTATCAGTGATGTTGTTTATGGTGGAAGGTATAGAGCTAGCTTCTGCGACGGAAACAGGGGTGAGAAATTCATAAAAGAGGCGAGTGTGGCATGCATGTGGCTAGGTCTATTGTATTGAATTTTCATGTATGCTACATCTTTTCATAATCTGTATGGTCCTCTCGAATATCCATACGACTTTGAAGACACATTGATATTTCTAAAATATCATCTACTATCACATGTCAAAAAAGCATAAAAATAACATAATTACACTATCTCTTGTGGGAAATCTTTTTTCAAAGCAAACCAATTAGTTTAATTTTGGATCTAATTTCTTCAATTAGTTACGCTCATTTTGTAAATATATCATAACGAGACAATTAATACTTTCTTGAAAGTACAAATAATTAACTATTTTACTACTATTAAAGAACTTAGAAATGATAATTATCAAGTTGTTAGATAGTAGTAAAAATATAAAGTATAAAGTATAAAATATAAAATATAAAATATATTTGCTTGCAAACATATCCTATGTGTATCCGTATCCTAATTTTTTATATTTTGTCATATTGCTACATCTGTATCATAATCATTTACATATTTCGTGCCTCCTATAGTAATAACATATGGGTTCTTTGGAGGGTGCAAATGAAGAGGTAAGATGTGAGGAGATTAATTTTGAGAACAAGTTAGTTGAATTGAAAGAAAGGGGGTGGGAAACATGGTAGATAGAGACAATTGGGTTAATCTTAGAGATTTGAAATGACTTTGTACAAAAAACTAGATAGTTAAAGAGAGAGAAAAAGACATCTACAAACTAGCTAAAACTAGAGAAATAAAAATAATAAACTTTAACCAAGTTAAATGCATCAAGGGTAAGGATTCAAAGGTTTTAGTTAAGGATGAGGCAATAAATGAACGGTGAAAAGACCATTTTGAGAAACTAATAAATGAAAATCACTTGGGACGCTTAGAAGAGATAGAAAATGATAGGATTCATGAAATTAGAGCATATACGTTCTTTCGTAGAAGAAACAAATTCAGAGGTATAGATAGCATTGAAAAAAATAAAATTAGGCAAGATTTTAGAACTGAATGAGATTCCAATTGAACTTTGGAAGTGCTTAGGGAATAGTGGAGTGTCGTGGCTAACGAAATTATTCAATAAAATCATTACTACTAGGAAAATGGTCAATGAATGGAGAAATAATATTTTAGTACCTATCTATAAAAATAAAAGAGAATTCAAAATTGTAATAATTATAAAGGGATAAAATTGATGAGTCATACAATGAAACTATGGGAAAGGGTTATTGAAAGTCGCCTAAGAGTCGAGACTACAATTTCAGAAAATTAGTTTGAGTTTATACCTAGAAGATCAACTATAGAGGCTATATATTTATTAAGAACACTCATAAAAAAATATAGAGCGAAGAAGAAAAATCTCTATATGGTATTTATAGATCTTGAAAAGGCGTTTGATANCGTCGCCTAAGAGTCGAGACTACAATTTCAGAAAATTAGTTTGAGTTTATACCTAAAAGATCAACTATAGAGGCTATATATTTATTAAGAACACTCATAAAAAAATATAGAGCGAAGAAGAAAAATCTCTATATGGTATTTATAGATCTTGAAAAGGCGTTTGATAAAGTACTTAGAAATATAATATAAAGGGTGCTTGAGAGAAAAAGAGTGACAAATAGGTATATTGAGGTTATAAAGACATGTATGACAGGGCTATAACTACAATTATGTCTTCTGTGATAGAAAGTTAAGAATTTTCAATCACGGTGGGATTACAAATTTACACCAAGGATCAACNGAATAGGTATATTGAGGTGATAAAGACATGTATGACAGGGCTATAACTACAATTATGTCTTCTGTGGTAGAAAGTTAAGAATTTTCAATCACGGTGGGATTACAAATTTACACCAAGGATCAACACTAAGTCTATACCTATTCGCCCTAATTATGGATGAACTCACTAGTACATTAAAGATAATGTCTCATGGTGTATGCTATTTGTGGATGATATTATCTTAGTAGATGGAATTCAAATGGAGATTATCTTAGTAGACACTCGAACCAAAAGAGTTTAAACTAATTAGGAGTAAAACTGAATACATGCAATGCAATTTTAATAATAGAAAAAGCAGACCTAATGAAAAAGTTAAGATTGAAAATCAAGAAATACAAACGAGTAAACGATTTAAATATCTATGATCGAACATTAAAAATGATAGAGAAATTGGAGACGATGTAACTCAAAATCAATACCGGTTGGCTTAACTGAAGGGAAATCTCTAGTATATTATTTGATAGAAAGATACCACTAAAATTGAAAGGCAATTTTTACTAAATAGCTATAAGGACAGTAATGTTGTATAGAATGAAATGTTGGACAATTAGGAAACAAATACTGACAAAATTAGTGTAGCGGAAATGAAAATGCTAAGGCGGATGTGTGAAAAAACTAGGATAGATAGAATACGAAATAACCGTATTTCAAAATTGTAGGAGTAACTCCAATTGAGAATAAGTTAAGAGAGAATAAATTAAGATAGTTTAATCATGTTCAACGGAGGCCAATAGAGACACCAATTAGAAAAAGTGGTAGAATTTTTCTTAATGGTATTAGGAGTAATGGTAGACCTAAATTAATATTGAACAAAATAATAAATAAATAAGTAAATATATATATATATATATATATATAACTTAAATGAACGTATAACGCGTGATCGAAATGAATGGCGAAAAGACTCATATAGGCGACCCCAAATGATTGAGACATAAAGCTTTGTTTGGTTGGTTAGTTGATTTATCTTCAGTACCTATTAGAGGGGATGGGTACGAAGACCAATAAAGGTAAGGATTGAGGAACACGAAAGCTTTGACGGAGTTTAATAACTTAATA